TCGTGTCTTTTTCTAATTCAAGGGTTCAATAAAAGGATATCAAAGTGGAATGTTAATTTTTGGTAATTTATAAGTGTTGATTTGATACGGAAATTTGTTTAATTCCTATGGGGAATGTTCTATGAGGCAACACTGAAATTGAGAATGAAAGAATGAGGGGTACGCTTGTGCTTTGGTTACATCTAGCTTTAAGGAGATATTCACATTTTTGATCATGTCGTCGAAGGATGTTCTTCTAGCAGTATTTGAGCTAGCACGTACTGGAGTTGTCTGAATATAGCAATTTGTGCACACTCTGTGGTGACTCGTACCATCTGTATAGGAGAGGTAATATCACTGGGTGTATCAACAATATTACGGCATCCTATATCATAATCTATCTACAGACTCATCTATGAGAGTTGGAGTCCGAGGGCTTGAAGGAATGATCGCTAAACACATTCTTCTCATCCTTTGAGTGTTATCAGTGAAAGCTAGGATTGGGAAAATAGATAGGTGGGTAGGTTACCTATTTGCTACTGTTTACGTGCCAGTTAAAAGAAGAAAAATAGAAGTAAGATTACGTGGAGTGGAAGTAAAAGATATTCTCATTGTATATCTTATGGATTCGCGGCAGAGAACATAGTTGACTGATGAAAAGCATTTATCCTTCTATGGTATGCTGTAATAGAGTGTTGAAAGAAGATTCACTTTGAAGGTTCGCAATTAATGGGGGAGGAATTCGGATATTTTATCTCGTGTAAAGCTCTTAGTTCTGATTGTAAAGATGACTTCTTGAGGAATGAGCAGGAGAAAGTATTTAGTATGTTGGATGTACATTCATGTAATTCTCCGAGGTTACATTTTAATTTTCGAATCGACGATGGTGCGTGGTCATAAAGCCAAAGAAAGAAGTGTAAGATTAAACAATATTATAAAGATGATACTTGGAAGTTAACTTCCCATTACGATTTCAGATCTTCTCTCGTGAAATTTAGGACTAGGAGAGGGAAGTGTTTCTATTCTAACGACATACCCAAAAGCTCATCATTCAATTTCAGTATTGGAGCTCAAGAAGTAACTTAGTCTTCCAGAATCCAAAGTTTCTGTTGCATATCTGAAATCGGACTTGAACATACCATAGTACAGTCCAGACTATTCTATTATGTGGTAGTCACTCGCCTAATTTTAGTAGTAAGACTTTCCCCTTTATTGTAAGTCATGACCACGACCTACGGTCTTTCAGAAAAAAATCGATTGGTCGATTGCCGCTCATTAAACAATGAACCGACTTGTATCAAAGTTTTGTTGCACATCTAATATTGGGCGCGAGTTAATGAACTTACTTCTCAATTTGAAATTCAAGTGATTTCTTCACAATTTTAACTATAATTGGTTAATTAAGTAGAGAATTGAGATTTCTCAAAATCTATGTTGCACATCTAGAATTGGGCGCGAGTTCTTGAACCCGTTAGTGGAGATTTTAAAGGGGTGAACCCCGTTGGCGAGCATAAATTTCTTTGTTGTCACATGCAGTCAGCTTGACAATGAATGAATCTGAGTACATTTCAGCTGGGAAAGTTTCCTTAGCGAGGTCACCTGTACAATTATTTTGTGTACAGCAGTACTGGTGTCCGTTTCCTGTAGAGACATTGTAAGGTAGGGTCGCATTTTCTCCCCAATTTTCGATTTTAGGTGTGGAAACTATGTACATGAGAACATTCGTGAGAAGATAGGTTTCATATTCCGTCTCCATATCAACCTTGAAGATTCACCCAACTGATCCATCTGTGATTCTATGTGACTTAAAATAGATGAAACGTTATATTTCGGGCATTCACTTCATGATCTCTCCACAGATACTCATATCTTTGATTGGTTTTCAACATACTTTTCCATGCAAACAATCATAGTCATCTTCTAAGTATGCAAATAAAACAGAATCAAGTAACAACCCCGAAGAGAATTTCATTCTAAATCACTTGATTCGGGACGGAGAATAAGTATTTACCCGTACTAAACTAGTTACACAAATCAAGAGAACTCTTTAGTTGTACTAAAAATGAAAAGATCTAGCCCATTAGTTCTTTCAAGTACTTTCTACCAGTGATTTACATTCACGTGTCGAGATTTCCCCATTTTCCCCATTCCAAATAAAGTATGAGGGGTAGTAGTGGGGTAAACCATACATCTTCAATCCTAAAGCGGGACTTCTGCATTACAACCCAAATGATTAAACTCTCCTCCTTTTGGTTTATCATACATTAAAGTGGATATTCTACCCACAATAAACCTCGACGGAACTACAGGTTCTAGGTAAATGTAAATCAAACGATATTTAACACCACGTGGAGTATCTACGATCAAGTCATTAATACAATAGTAGAAAAGAAGACAGTTGCGGCAAAATAAGATATGCAACAAATTATTCAAACATCATCATGTAGTGAAACAAAGTGAAATCAGTGGAATCAGTGAAACCTTATAATGTGAGTATCCCCGCACTAAAAGTGACACCAAAAGTAGTACAAGGACGATAATTTATTTATTAAGTTGACGCCATATAGATGGTGGGTATACCGCGGAGCAGTCCGCAAATCGAGATATGCAACAAAAAGATAATAAAAACATACTATAAATATATGATAGTCAAAAGTCGAATGGGAAAATGTACTACGTTACATTTAAAGTCGTACTGAAATTGATCAAAATGTAATACAAATGATGTGGTAATCCCCGGAATATGAAACTCGATGTGCAACAAACGTGGGTATAAAGATGAATTTGTAAAATGTATGCGTGTTTGCGTGAGAGAGGGGAATTTTAATGTATGATGATGTGGTGTTAAAGAAAGGAGGGGTAAAGTTTGAGATAAGGGTCAAAAAATGAAACGTGATTGTGTGTGTAAATGTAAGTATATGGAAGACAGCACGTTGAAGTCAACTATTTGTTACTGCTCACACTTCGGATACATCGATTATGCACCTCGTACCTAATCCACTCATACTCGCATATATCCCTTGAAAAATGACCCTCTTCAACTCGGGCTCATAGTCAAATCTTTAATTCTTACTAGCAATTTTAAGGAGATGGCCGAAATATAAGATATGCAACAAATAATCTAATGCATCATGCATATTACCAAAGACTAAACCATGGAATGATCCGCAGATTACGATGTGCAACAAAACCAGGTCCTTGGGAAGTACCCGCATGAAATTATGGTGGCATGATTAATGAAGTAGTGTAACATCATTAGAAAGGCTCGTGATGTGAATTAGTTATCGAAAATTATCTTGAATGTCACTGGTGTGAGCCTTGTCGGCCAGGAGAAGTTATACTAGGGATAGTCTGTAAGGTTGTATGTGTACTAGTTGATGAGCTTGTGAATTATTGTTTGCTTAGAAGATTTCTCGTGATTGATGTCTTAAAAATAGATGGGACATTCTTCGGCAATTTGATACGTTTTCGACTCCCGAGAATTGTAAGCCGAGAATTTATTTATTAGATTATATACAGAATTGGTTTCGAAAGACTGTTCCAATGTGTAACAGTAAAACAACTACCACCCGTCTATGTTCAACCTCGTGGTGCTGATTTTCCTGGAAAGTGATTTTATTATTCAGATAAGTCGTCGTTCCCAAATTATCCGACCTGCCCCTATTTAGGCGCGCCAAATCATTAATCGCTTCCAATGAAAGCTATACGAACATATTGTCTTATTAAACTACTCAGAAATGAATTCATAGAATATCTCTGAGCTCGAAGCTGAAATGGTTTTCGATATTACAAATCCGAATTATATATTCAAGGTGAGTGGAATTTAAAGTCAGACGAAAGGTACTTTTCAATTCTGACAGTGAAGTATTTCAGGATTAATATGAGAATCAGCAAAAGTTATGTCATGAATGATAGTAGTCAGATATGAGTTAACTATTAACTAGTGTTGATAACATTATGGCATCTTTTGTCGTCGATTTCCTCCTTTTTCATTGGAAAAATGGAAAATCCTTAAATTCCACTTGAATTGAGATAGCTCAAATTACACCACAGTAAAAGGAAATCAAAGGGCGTCACTACTATTCTTGCCAATCTCTCAGATGCTACTTTCAAATTTTTTGAAGTCCTACTTCGAAGTTGTTGAGTTTAGATAGATATTGCTCATCAGTTTTGAAAAAACCAAACTACTGACGTCGAGAGTTCCACGTGACATGAGAGTTCAATAAATCTCTCTCTTATGATTCAAATCTCATTAGTATTCAGGCAGTCTCATTATCATCTGTCTTTCCACCCGTGTCACTCAGTTCTCATCATCAGTACTAATTCTAGTTTAAATCTACCTATCAGAAGTTTTTCTTCCGTAACAACTAGATAATTGACTTTATACATGTGATAATGGTTGAAATTTCCATGTCAAAATAGAAGCAAGCTGAATTCCAAGGATGAGATTACGGGCCCACACACTTCAACGTAGATACAGTAAGAGCTAACTCCTCCGGATGATCCGGCTCTTGGATGATTACATCCTTATTTTTCTTCAATGGTCATATAAGTGGCATGTATAATAATACCAACCAACATATTACCAACATATTACCAACACGTGCCTCGAGAGCGCAGTAGTATGTTGGAAGTATCGGAAGGGAAAGTTAGTGCGAGGAAGTTGGTTTATAGAATTGATGAGACCCCAACGGATGAAGACTTGGAAAAGATAAATAATGAGGAAGAACAAGAGATCAAGGGACCTGATCTTTACAAATCTCAATGGATGAAATGATTGATGATCAGAATATTGATGATATGTCACTCGAGTCGTCATGGCCTTGTTTGGTATTGAGAAAAATCATGGACTTTCATCTCTTTTTGATTTACTTAGGCAATTTATCGTGTCAATTGACATTTACTTCAGATATTACATTGATTAACGCTAGATCTCTCTAGTCAATTGATGCATAAATTCAAACGAGATAGTTCTTATTATTACAACAACAACCATCACTTATCTCTCTCCTAACCAGAACCTATGCCATAACAGGACCTTCAACTCTACCATCCCTATACCTTCTTCCCGCTACCCCAATAATGCCTTCTCCTCCAACCGCTAAAGTACCTACTTTATCCCCCACCATTATGTCCCCAATCACTGCTGGTTCATCCGCCAAACTCTTGACGAGTTTTCCCTCATTTCCAGTACTGCCATGTAGTATCACTGGTAATTTCGGCATTCTTTCAGCCGCATCTCTAGTTAAAAGTATCATCGAAAGTGAATTTAATGTGGTAGTCCATGTACGATTAAATGCACTACGTATACCTAGGTATAATAATGATAATGTAAGGTAGATGATTAAGATACTGACAATGATAATGACGGATAAGGGTAGGTATGGTCGTTTTACCGTTTTTCCCATTTCAGTAAATAAAGGATGGGCACGATAGTTTAAATTTTCAGCCACGACTTCCCATGCAGTTTTAGTAGCGAGAAACGTAGAAATGCGGAGACTGTTCTCAAGATAATTTTGGTTGGCTGCGAATCGACTGAGATAGGATGCATAAGATCTGATGATGTTAGTAATTACATAATAACTGAGTAGAGATTCAATGGTTAATTACTCATTCTGATTTATCGATCCAGTAAATTTACTAAGCGGCCATTGTATGTTAAGTCGTTGATCAATACCGCCATATTCATCTGTCATACTGCTCCAATCCGGAAATAATGCTAGAGCTGATGTCAAAAGAGGACCATGATAGTCAAGTGTCATTCGATTTATTGCACTGTATAGACCAACTAATGGATCACTCTCATTGAATATGGTTCGGGGTGTAGTTTCACTGAAGCTGATGTCAGTTTTAACGTCTTACTTGTTGTCATAAACTACGTACCTCGCAATAGCTCCAAATATCGGAATATCGGCGGGCAATAGAGGTCCAGCGCTACTGTTAGCATATGTTGGAAGATTAAAATACCCAAAAGTGGTATCTGCCGTGCACCTATGAGTATTTAGCCAATGAAAATATTCAAATGTAATGAGATGAAAAACTACTTTTGTGTGTAATTCTGCAAAGATCCAATTCCAGTGAGTTCATGCCCAATATCCGTCATAGTCCAACCAATATCAAAATACAATTCTTCTTCGATGGTTTGTAGCGTACTATTGACCGACCATGGAAAAGCATATTTGTTGCCCGGTACACAAGCATTCAAAATCAAACCATTAATACCATACGCAATATATTCAATTGTCATGGTATTGTTTGCAGTAGTTAAATTGATGGAAGTAGTCCATGGCGAAGGACCTGGACAGACTGTTGGAAACTCGCGTTGTGGAATGATGAAACATGTAATGGATGTGTTCATTCGGAGACCAGTAGAGTTATACATCCCATTGCTATAAGTATTATTTTGAATTGCATACCATGATGTTGAAGAATTTGACAATCTTTCTTGAAGACCCGCCGAGATATTAGTAGATGGACGTCCAATTGGATATGAGCTGGAAGAGTTTGATGGATTCCATAAATTCGGTTGGATATCATTTGGATTGGTGTTAACCAAAGCTGTACTGAGAGCTCCTTGATATCCATGTGAAGTATATAAATCGTAAAGAATATTTTCTCCGTTGAGTAGTGGGTAATTATAACGATACATGTTATGAAAATAACCTTGAGATGGATATTGAGGATTCGGTACATAGATGTCAAAAATCTGGAGAAAGCCTTGTTGAATGGGGTAGATCAATATCGCTAAAAAATTTATTAAATCTTCTCAATATTGTTATTAAAGAGAGAGGACTAACCGGATATACAAAGGCTAAACGCATATAGTAGATATCCTGATTTCATAAGTTTCATATCTTTTTGAATCGAGCACTTCCAAATAGCTGGGATACTAAGCCAAATTTCATCCGCAATAGCAATTATTTGACTTAATGTATATCCTGGCTTGGAATTTCGGCGCTGTGTAAAGACAACAGCAGCTCTTGAGAGAATAGTTGAAACAACAATTAGTACAAACAATGAGCAAATCGTGATTAAGACTTGAAAAGTATTTAACCATCTTTCGTTCCATTTAAAATCGTATTTCCTGGTCGCAGCTGTAATTTCGTATGAATAACTCGAGCCAAAAGGCTTATAACATATATGAACGAGACCCTATTGATTACATTCAATTGTGAGATACTTCAATTAAACTACTTGACTTGAAGAACTCACAATCCATTGTAATAGAATCAAAGTTGAAAAAATTAATGACAACCAAAACCCACCCCAATTCCTTTTCAAAGTATAACTTTTGACTTGTGATATCTCCGGAGAAATTGTATATGCAGGAGGATCTTCATGATGAAGTGATGTGGTAGAGTTATGATCGAATCTATTCAAAGTGCGTTCGGATATCTGAACACCAGCAACGTTATCGTTATGTAAAATTGAAGATGGCTCTCTGGTTGATGAAGTCGCATTATCTTGGTCTCTATCGAAGCTTCTCCTGCTATTCCCCATTGAAGAAACAGGAGAAGTAGAATGAGCCTCTCTTTCAGGAAGAGAACTTAATTCATATTGAAAATTTGCCATGATCAATTTTCTGCGACGACAATGGTATTGAAACGTTTTCCATCTAAAAAATGATAGGCACTTGTTTTATTGTGTTGGAAAGAAAAAGAGGCAACAAGCTGAACATTACCCTGGAGATGTAGATTTCTTCACACAGCCTTGAAAACTAGCCTTAAATCTTGTTTCTGTGACGGATAATAACCTTTTTGACATAGCTTACGGCACAGGTGCAGGAACAGCGACGCAATCGTCATTATCATGATCTGTGAATTTATCCGTGATCCTTGAATCGGCTTACAAGAGCTTCCTTAATGGTTATTGACTCGCCAACTTTGTGAAGGTAAGATTACCTAATTGCACAGCCAGGCGGACGATTGTTTCAAAGTCTTACTTTACTACATGATAACAATTGATTGCTTGATTGGATAAGTATTTGAGATTATTGTCAGAATTTTGCTCGTTCTTTAGACTGTTGGAAATATTCTGACCTACAAGCAAAAATGGGCATAGAAATCGAAACTTTGCCGGTGATTCTACCTCTCGATATATACCTTCCTCTCCACAAATGAAGTTTTGATATATTTATATATTTTACAAAACCATCTTGCACAAGAATACAAATATTAATCCCTAGAGGTGGAATTGTATGAATAATATACACGTATCCATCAACCCAGTATGAAGAGACAGATCATGTACACTAGACTCGAATCTCACGTAAGACATTCGTTTCAAAATGAGCCGCATTAATGATTCGTGGATTGAAGTCTCACTGGCGGAATATGAATTCGCCGAAATCATGGCTTGTCACGACATCTTCCATAAAAGTTGAGTTCTGATGACTTCAATCACTAATCGCGAGGGGCATAAATCAAACATAAGGATTTTGCACTTTGGTGAAAGAGAACCTTAAAGCAGATGAGACTGTATAAAATGCAAAGAACAATATGCTTGTTTGTAATTAAGTTACTGACTCGTTCATCTGCTCATCTCCCGAAGCATCGAATTTTGGTAGTGGGGTATAAATGACTACCAATGTAACCAAAACTCTTTTCAATTCAAACTTTCAAAGCCTTTACAATTGAACACCAAAAAATCAGTACCAATACCAGATCTCAATATGAGTAAAAAATGAAACTCACATCACCACAAGCATATTCAGCATAACACTCAGTCCACTCGTTGGGTTTGAAAAGTACCACTCTTTCCTGCTTATAACAATTTTTTACCCCAATATAATCCGGCGATGCAGCAATACCAATGATATCTCCAACAGATGCCTGTGGAGCATCATAACCAATTTCAATTGTAACAGTAAACGGATCTACAGGTACTGTCACTGTCCATGAATTATCATGCCATTCGACTGTTTCGTATAAATTGATAGAGGCAAATGAATCGGGTGGTAAATGGGATTGGGCAGTTGATAAAGACGAGTAGTATGAGATTTCAGAATAGGAAGATTGAGTGAGAGTATCGTAACAATCAGTAGGGTAATATACTTCCAAATTATCTCTAGTTGAGACCAGAGCTGTAGAATAGGAGATGGAAAATGCAAGAAAAGATAGTAAAAGCATGTGAAAATTGAAGGATTTTGGAGAGAGCATTTTGGTAGAAGATATGAAGAACTGACTGGCAAGAAGGGCTTTTGAAAATGTACTTTGTATGTATTTTAGACCATATTTCGCGTAGAAATGGAAAGCTTTATGGAAGGACTGTATGGGACGGAATAATAATTCACTTGGACTATCATTGAACCAAGGTGAAATCTGCAAACCAAGGCTGATGCCTGCTTGGCATTCAATGTATTGACCCTGAACGATAACAATAGAATTCCATTACGCATCAACAATACAACAACACTTGATAAAAGTACTTTGAGGCGTTCCCAAGAATCCTTCCAGCTGTAGGACAACGATCAACTATGGAAAGATTTGAAGACTATGACTGGGCTTGTGGCTGGCTTCCTGTCTCCGTGTACCTAAAACTATGTCGAAAAACTCAGCCAATTGCGCACATTCCGGTTCTGTACACAGTTTCTAGAATAAGTGATACGAGCTGCCGCATCAGAAATATTAAAAGTTCAAGCGAAGAATGGTCGTTTCCCGAGTCGACCTTTGGTATCAGCTGTTCACCTCCACCAAGAAATGACCAAACGATGAAAAGCGGTCACAAATTTTGACCACGAGGGAATGATTGAAATTGAATAACCTTTGTTCAGCTTCCTTAGGTGAAGACGTATGAAGTAATGTCGTCAAATTAGAGTTGTAGTTCCGAAATTTATCATTAAATCTCTCCACTCATAATCGACTACTCAGATGAATTCAAGACCTCAACTATAGCATTGGCCAAATTTCCAGTCTCCCATATTTTGTTGTGAGTTCCCTTCAGATGATTTTTGAGATTTTTCACCACTACTCCTCCATTAATACCATGAACATTCTTCACCACAACATCGATTTGTATCTCATCAACCAACTCATCATCTGGTGAAGTAGCAAAAGCAAGAATCTTTCCAGTCTTTCCAAATTCCTCAAAACTGGAAAATTTGGCTGGTGAAACTTCATCCCAGATTTTTTCGTCAGACCCGAATGCTTGAGTGAGAAATTCATTGTATGCAGGATGAGGATTTGTGTCACGAAGCAATCTTAAATCGTAAATTCCAGCTACTCCGAGAACATATCGTGGGAGTTTGAATGTCAAATGTTCATCTGGTATACCACAAGAATGTAAATATTCTTTTCCCATCGAAATTTGCATTGCTAGTGTTGCACCGCATGAATGACCAACGAGTAGATATTGATCTTCGATAGAGTATTTAGATTGTAAATAAGATAGTGCAGAACATATATCTTGTATATGATCAGGGTGCTTAGCATTGCGGTATTCGTGCCTCGGAACTGAAGAAGAATCTTGAGGGAAGGATGGATGAGAAGATAGACGATAATTGATGCTTGCAAATGAGGCGATCTTGGATTCAATAGATGAAGACACAAGGTAATTGATCGTGGGAATGAAAGAAGAGGATGTCACAAGTGGATCACGCCACGCCCCCCCATGAATATAACTGAAAAGATGTTAGAATGGTAAAATGATTTCAATCACGTGATATATATCTGTGTGACGGATTCGGGAGTTTTTACATTACCCAAATCTTGGATGAAGTTGTGGAAGGTTCTCCAACGGCTCCCGTGAGAGACTTATCATCTTTGGTTTGACTTGGAGTAAAGAGACTCAAAGTCTGCAAGTCATGCTCTTGTGCGTATTTGACATCTTCTCTTAGAAAGTCAACAGGAGCACTGACTGATGGATCACCTAGATTAGTCATTTTGACTTTGACTTTTCGATCTTAAAATGCGGTGATGTGAATTTGGGAATGTCATCAAAAAGTAAGGCAACACATCACCAATAATAAAGCTGTAATGTCGGAAAGTGTACTATCCTAGCGAGGACTGCGGGAATCGAGTTGATAGTTAGTAACACGCTAACGGATCGGAAGCGGAATGTCTTACATAAGTCATGATAAAGTTCTAGTATTCCAACAATTCGCCAATTAATCCCATCTTCAAAAAGTCAAACTATTTACACAACACGGAAGCGGATGCGGAAACCATTCAGCTTAGATGTATCTACGTATCATTCCTATCTCGACGATAAGTAAGTGAGGGGTTTCATCCTAATGCAAGATGTTGCAGACTCTGCGTTTAACCAATTTGGAACTGCACCAGCTATATCCATCATAGGTAAGAACTATGGTGTTGCAATAGAGAAGTTATAAAGAGAGTCAAGGTAAAACACTCCTGTGTTTTCATTTCTGGTCAAGTAAACCTTTATCTTTTCATTTGATTTCAAACATATCAGTATCCGTGAATTTATTTTGTCGAGATTCCACATCATCCATCTTGCAGTCTTCAATATTCGGCGTCGATCAATATTAGCTCAATGGAGAATTCCTGGAGAGAATTGGATATTGGTGTGATTGGTGGTGGAATAGGTATGCATGAATCCCATTCGGAATTGTCCACAAGAGCTAATAAATCTGGTAAAATAGGTGGTCTCGCTGTTGCCACAAGTTTACGACAAGCCGGACATCGAGTCACAATATATGAACGGGCAGATTTCGCTGGAGAAGTTGGTGCTTCTATATCTTGTGCGGCGAATGGCACAAAGTGGCTTGAAGAATGGGGTGTCAATATCTCAATTGGACGACCTGTGGTTCTAGAAAAGCTTATATCGCATGACTGGAAAACTGGAGAGGTTCAAAATGTATATGATTTGGCCGACTACAAGAGCAGATGGGGATACGTTTATAATATGTTTCACAGAGTCAATATGCACGAGATGTTGATGGACTCTGCTACTGGGTCAAATCATTCCGGCATACCAGCAATCTTAAAATGCAATCACAAATGCGCCGAGATCGATCATGAACAAGGCCTTGCTACTTTTGAGAATGGTCTAAAAGTCAAACATGATTTGATTATTGGCGCAGATGGTATTGGGTCACAAGTACGAAAAACTTTAGGAATTGTGCCGGATCGAGAATTATCCACATCTACATGTTTACATTGTATTATCGAAACAAAAGATGCAAGGAGGTTAGGACTTCGAGATCTATCACCGAATAGTGCTATCGAATTTTGGGGTGGACAAGGAATTCACAAGATTGTGTTCTCACCATGTCGAGATGGAGAAGTTCACTCATTCTATTGTTTCTTCCCGACAAACGAAAGTTCTCATGCCGGCGAAGGTTGGAATATTAATCTTACCGTTGAAGATATCCTCAGACCATTTCCTGACCTCGATCCGGAACTTCTTGCATTATTCAAGAACTCAACTGATGTCAAACCATGGAGATTATTTGTTCATCAACCATATCCATATTGGCAAAAGGGCGCTACTTGTATTCTTGGTGATGCAGCACATCCTATGCTTCCAGATCAAAGTCAAGGGGCATGTCAGGCTTTAGAAGATGCGGCTGCATTGGGTATAATTTTTGGAAGGAAATATGGATTTGCCAATTCAAAAGTAACCATTAGCGAGGGATTAAAGCTGTATGAACAAATTCGTAAGCCTAGAGCTTCTCGGGTACAAGCGGCTAGTGCTCTTGCTAGGGTAAATATCAATGAACGAATCGGATTTTCATCGAATACCAACAACCCTAATTACAAAGTATTGGATGAGAAGAAGAAATTAACAATCGAGGAGATGAATGAATATGATATGGGATTGGATATTGAGAGAAATGTTTCGGGTACGCAACCAGAAGTCGAGATGAGAGCCAGCTTATAAACTTTGGTTTTTACTGTTCATGGGTTTGAGGGGGGGGCATCGAAGAGTACATCGAGAATTACATCGAGGATTACACCAAGGAGTACACCAAGGAGTACATCAAGGAGTACATGGAGGAGTACATCAAGGAGACTTTAATTTCTGGATACCCTAGATGGTATACCTTTCATTATATTAGAAATTTTATAATAACTTCTTAATCTATATTCGAGATTGAAATCATTCATAACAGTTTTCAACATCTTATAATGACCATACAAATTTTGTATTGATTAAAACATTCCTAACCACTCGGGTAGAAAAGGAGAATGATCCGAACAATATCCGTTCTCCGCCGGGAACCCCTGCTCCTTCATCTGACCCAAATCTGGTTAGTAATATAATTGTGACTACTACTAGTGCATTAATTGCACCGACTTCTTTATCAATAAACTAACTTTTATCCCACTCACGCATTTCGATTGATAAACAAACACCATGATAGATGAACGACGTCAATCTTTTTGCACATTTCATCGAAAGTGCTTCAATGTCAGAACGTCCAGCAAAACGCATTCGCCAAGCATGTGAGCCATGCCGGTATGTAATAGTTCTTTCCATTTGGATTAAGAGATAGTCAGAATCAGAAGTGGGGATCAAAGAACATGAATGTATAAAACTATTTTGACTAATGAAGAACTTGGAACAGGCGCAAGAAAACAAGATGTCCGGGTGAAAAACCAATATGCTCGCATTGTGCGAGATTAAGACAAAATTGTTATTATGCCGATGATGGTTTAAATCATGCCAATGAGAGAACCTCGATTGAGAGAACTCCATTACCAACACCGACTCGGATACAGGAGAAAAGCCACGTGAGATCATCAAATGATGTAAACTTGGTAAGTTATAAGTGTAGGACTTTGATTATGAATATCAGCGCTTATAAGTTTTACTAGGAAGATAGATTGAAATCAGTTGAGGCTCAACTTGCAGAGGTCCTTTCAAATCAAGTATCCATGAGTAGGAGCGCATCAAGACATATGTCAAATTCCCCTGTTTTATCACAGTTGGGACAGACAATGAGGACACCAAATGTTTTTAGGCTTTCGAGTAGGTGAGAATTTTCAATGCAGTAATTTATACGATCATTAAATTGACCAAATTGAAGCAAACTTCCACCATATGAGGCAGTCATAAGTATTGCAAAAACTTATCTACTATACTGCGATTGTCAGCCACTTCCTGTGTTCTGTCGGAATAGATTTGTTGAAACAATCAACGATCGTGACCCAGAAGTAATTTTCTCAATCTTAGCTTTGGCAATACGCTTTTCAGATGATGATATCTTCCGGGATAATCAATCTGAACTCATTACGGGATATGTAGAGGCAGCTCATTCCATCATCTCCGCCAGAATATTTGGAGGTCGAGTAGAACTCTCAACACTACAATCTCTATGCCTTCTTAGTCTAGTAGACTTCACTAGTACGTTTAATACGTCTACACATTACTACACAGCTAATATCTTCTTAGATGGAAATACGCGACAAGCAAGTGTACATAGTAGTCTAGCCATGAGCTTAGCTCATAATGCTGGTCTCACGACAGAAACTCATGCTCATTTATCTAATTCGCTGCGTGAAGAACGTCGACGATGTTTTTGGAGTTTATTCCTCCTCAAAAGATTACATGGCGCAGAGTTCAGTGTTATAGATTTCGCGGGTGAAGATAAATTTCCATGGTATCCAGAAACCACCGGTAAACCATTGAATCATGGCCAGTTTACGAATGGAGAAACTCCCGACCTTTCATCTCCAGAGTTTGCTATATCTGATACTCAAGATAAAGGTGTCGTTGCTTATGCCATTCAACTTAGTGAAGTGTGGTTTAAGATTACCCGGTACGCGAGAAGACGTGGTAATCCAAGTACTTTACCCCCTTGGTCTCCTCAATCAGACTACGCATTAATAATGGCTCAACAAATGGACTTTGAAACCCGTACTTCACAAATTCATCGCTTCAAATCCGCCAAATTTTCTCAAAGAACTTCGGAAGAATTACATGCCAATCGAGACTATTGGGGTCCTTGGTTGTTCATTCAATTTTTGTATCACACAAACCTTTGCCTATTGAATAATCCACTTTTGTTATCACTTCGATTAAAACATCTCAAATCTAACATTCCAGAAATATTCCTACAACATATTTCAGATTTGATCTCATCGCATGCTAGTTGGGTCATTAGATATATTGATATGTTGGAAGTTAAATCTTTCAAAGTCTCTGATCCATTTCTTGCTCACTGTGTAGCGATCATTGCAACAATATATTTACAAGAATGTTTTGCCGAGGATCCAATTGTACGACAAGAAAAACGAGATAACTTTGATAAGTGTTTGAAATTTATAAGAGATTTTGAAGAATGGCCTCATGTTGCACGAATGGTAAGTTGAATCATCCTCAAGAGTTTTATTTTGGTACTAACATTGACTCAGGCGGAAAAACTTCAACGTCTTTGTGATACAGTTTCATCCACTTATACAAATACTGATGCACCACCACAAACCCCTAATCGTAGTCTTCTCATTGACCTAGGTCAATTCTGGGAAATTCTAGAATACTCTTCCTCGAGTGAAATCCCCGCATTGGCTCGTCGTCTTTTCGGACCATCCTTATACTCGGCTTCAATTCCTGCTACTCATGAAATTAGTCATGCTTCATCACTACCAGAACCTACCAGAGTTGATAGACAAGATTTTGAGGGATCCGGTCCTAATTCTGTCAATACTAGTGTGGTCAATCTTGGAAATGGAACGACAGATCAAGAACAAGAACAAGAATTTGTTCAACCACCATTTCATTATTCTGATGATGAATTGGCAGTTTTGGCGGAAAGTTTTTTTCATCAAAGAGGTGATGGAATGGGTCATATGGAGGATTGGTGGAGTACTGGGAATTTTAGTTGAGTCTTTTGGCTCACTATGATCCGAATTAGCTTGCGGGGACCGTAAATGGTTTATATTACTTGTAAATAATTTGGCAAATACGAATGAAATATTTATCAAAAATCTGTATCGGGGTTTTAGATGTGAGTGCTACATAATTATTGGACTTTTTATCATGATTTCTTCCGATACTAGAAGGTTGAGGGGTACAAGTGACCTCGTGTTTCGTGGTAAAATGCGGGACTCTTGATATGGAGGGCAGGAACGACAAAGAGACGCGCAATCCGTAGGGGGATAACGCATTGTTCTAAAGGTAATTGAATGTCTACAATTTTATGAGTATAACAAAGAAAACTGACTAAATCCTTGAAGATACCTCGAATAAATATCAAACAAAGCTCATTTTGATGGAGAATAACATTGGAACAAGGACCTAGCTCAGTTTATATAACTCTGATGTTTTACAAGCATTTTTAAAAGATCATCCTCGTTTATTTGACTACCTCAATACTACACTACTCGAGTAATTAAATCAAGTATTTCAGGCTTCAGATCACTTGAATTAGAAATTACTTTCGAGATGAATTCTCAAGATCAATCATCTAATGGTAAAGCTCTAGAGAAGTTCACAATTTTCCCACAACTTCCCCCAGATATACGAATCAGGATCTGGAAAGCTACATTAACTCCTCGTTTATTGAGTAGATGGTGCTTGAGCGCTAACAGCAGCCGACCTCTAAATGCCGTCTACATTCCTTCGTTACTTGGTGTTAATGCAGAGGCCAGATATGAAGCCCTAAAATGTTACCAAAACATAGCGATTTCGGCCGAGCGTCTTCATGATCTAAGACTTTCCGGGTATTATTGGGTTCCAAAGGGAGAGGAACTCAGAATTCTCTTCAATCCTGAAATCGACGTAGTAGTCGATGAAAGCCTTCGGTGCGATGTTTATATGCATGGTTTGGATGACGCATTCGCTATGCCGTACAGAATTCCACTGCTCATAGACCCCGACTTTGTCAGGAAGGTTCAAGTATCTCCCAACGTTTTTATGAATTCTTCTTGGAATTGGAGGCAGACGTCATGTAACTGGCAAGACAATTATTTCGGATTTGAGGACATGGATCTCGAGAACTACGCAGTACGTCGCATGGGGTTCAAAGACTTGCGGTTCAACAACTTAAATGAGTTCATTGTTCAGGATGTGGATTGCGCTCTTCCACATCAGCTTGAATCTCCGGAGATAAGAGCTAGATGCAAGGAAATTCTGGAAATCATGTTCAAGGCCGAAACAACTCGCGAGTCGGAAGATCATATTCAAGTCTCAATTCCAAAAATCGTTATCCGTCTAGGTGCAAAGGTAGGCCTTTGTGATCATTGCACTGTCCGATTCACCCCATGGACCAAGTGGCCATTGGAACAGCCCCACCATTAGGTCGACGAGTAAAAGGTTGAGAAGGGAGTGCGAAGAATTTGAGTATGGATAAGTGTCGCTAGCGAAAATATCCACTAGGTATTGAGATTTTTCCTTTTCAAGTACTTTTCTAGTGATTTCCTTTTCAAGTCCTTCCTTTAATTTCATAGTCAATCCAAAAATACCTTAAAACCTCAAATAATAATGAAAATATAAGTCTCCTTATCATACCATGAATATCCTCCAATAATCTCATATGTGTTCAATGTGTCAAGCTCCAAGTGATATAAAAATGTAATTTGAAGATAATCAAGATCTATCATTCCTCACAAATCTTGGCTTGGGTAGTATCAATGATACACCAAAATTACCATCCAGAGAAACCCAACACTTTGGAAACCGAACATCTTAGCGATTTTCCTTGTGATTTCTTCAATTTGGAAAGTAATTATTCATTGAATTGATTACACGTTCTCTTATGTTCGACTAACTAGTCATTCCCATCTTATTATGTCCGGACTCGATGCCATTCGGATCGTCACTAGTCGACCGAAATTCCGAGGCCCCTCTATTCTTAACCGAACCATGTGGATCTTATCTGCTCACCTTGAAATCGACGTCTCATTCTTGATATTATAAATCAAGGTAATTCGAACAAAGTTCTAGACTTTTTCTTCGAGCAGTGAATCAATATCATATATCTTGCATGTAAATCTCATCTCTCGTCCAATTCCTTTCTATATATCTTTCCATTCCTATTTCTACCCCGCATTACATCATCACACCTTAAGCCCAACAAAATGACAGACAACACACCCACGTTTCACCACCTCAATGTAAGGTTTTAGCCATTCCAATTATTCAATGATACCTGCTCACATACTAACAATCAAAGGACTCACAATCTCAACGGATCTTCTGGCTTCTAGAAGAACTTTCCATTCCCTACAATCTCCAACTCCATACCCGTAATCCCGCCACCGATCCCAAGGCTCCTTTACTCGCACCACCATCTCTTCAAGCTACCGGTCATTACGGAAAAGCTCCTTTACTCATCACCGGTCCCAAAGATGGAAACCGCTATATCCCCGAATCTCTCGCCATAGCCACTTACCTTATCCGTACTTTCGATTCCGCTGATACCTTTGGTCTCCGTAATGGCGATTGGATCCGTGATGAAATGCTCATTTCTATTACCTTGACTGATTTGGGAAGAGCAACAAATATGATGTTGATGCTTGATTTCAATGCTATAGCTAATGGAGCTGGACCTATGGGGAAACGATTTGATGGACCTGCTTTGAGGAAAGTATTGGGGGATTTGGAAAAAGAGTTGAAGGAAGGTCCTGAGGGAGGATTCTTAATGGGAAAGAATCCGGGGAGAGCGGATATCATATTGGAATTTCCAATGGCGTTGATTAAACAGAGAGGATGGGTAAATTTGGAGAAGGAGTTTCCGGCTTTGGATGAATGGTTAAAGAGGTGTTATGAGAGACCTGCTTGGAAGAGGAGTATTGAGAAGGGAAATGGGTATGATTTTGCTACATTCCCTCAAAAGGCACATTTGCAAGCGCATTTGTAGATGAAGTTTGGTAAACTGTAAAGTATGGAAGGCCTTCTAGGCTTATTTTTCTTGTGTTATATGTCACATGTTTATCACGTGGTGAAACCCCTATATTTATCTTCGGCGTTGCACGGTCTAGATTTTGCCCACATGTAGATGTACGATTTTATAGATAAATTTGGCATTGGAAGTAGACTGACGATTGTTTTCAACGTCGACATTCATAATCAATAGATTTCCAGTTTTCCCGTGTAATAATTTTGATGGGTACACACGATTCTTCTTCACTTCAATAGTCCGGGCTGTAGTCTCATGATGAGAAATCCTTGGTTTTAATAATATTCCTTATATAAACAATACACTCTATGTACTAGGTTTATGGCGTAGTTGACCGAAACCATCAAAACATCTTGAAAGTCTTCATTCCTGGCAAATAGTTCAATCCAATCAATGCTCTATGCTGCCAATTGCTCATACTCCACACTAGCGTAAACAAAAGGTCCAGCACCCTTCAAATCATTCTCATCAATGGCAATCGAGGTATAGTACTATTCGACAGTTAGTCAGATTTCCAATAAAATTTCACACAAGACAAACCTCAAATGTAGCATTCGATCCCAAACTTCCCACCAAAACTGTTCCCTCCCAATTAACAGTACCATTCGTTCCATTGAAGGCGACGAAAGTTTCCGCAAGATATTCATAACCCTTCTTCATTGGCGCAATATATTCACTTCCAAGATATCCCTTTCTAACACCCTTCAAAATCGCATAGACGAACATCGCTGAACCACTAGACTCGATATAATTTCGTGGTTTTCCTGGATATGGTTCATTCATTACTAACCACCAACCACCTGTTGTATCCTGAGCAGCAGCTACACCTGCTGATGCAGTAATGAACCAATCAAGAAGCTTTGCATGTCCTTCATGTGATTCGGGGAAGTAATCGAGAACATCGACGAGAGCCATTAAATACCATCCTAATGCTCGATCCCATACATTAGGTGATGCTCCTGTTATAGGATCAGCCCATACTTGAGTTTTACTCTCGTCATAGCCATGAACGATAAGATTTGTGGTATGATTGCGACAATGTTCTTCGATAAGCGAATATTGCAATAGGATATCATCCCAAGCAGTAACATTTGCGGCATCAAAGTAGGATGTCCATTGAGCATAAAAGACATCAGCCATGAAGATACCATCCAACCACATTTGATTCGGGTATGTAGGTGCACGATGCCAGAATCCTCCAGATGCAGTTCGTGGATTGTAGTTAAACTGTTGACGTAATCTGTCGGCGGCAACTTTATATCTTGTTTCGTTGGTTCGAGCCCATGTATCGAGGATGATGGTTCCAATTCGAATGTCATCAAGGGAAGCTGGGTAGGATGGATAACCGAGAATTGATCCATTTGCAGATACAGCAGTATCCATTTGTGATTTTAGCCAATTAATGTATGTTGCGTTCCCGGTGGCATTGTATGCCAATTCAACACCTCGGTAGAAGACTGCTTGAGCATATTGGGCCGTCTTGGGCACTCCCCTTTGAATGAATGAATCAGAAACTAAGGTAGAATACTTGATAGCAGCATCTTCGGCCCTTGTACTAATTACACTTGCTACGGATGCGGATGCATATGCGAAAAGAAGAGAGCACCGCATCTTGATGTGATTAAGAGGCGTGATAAAAAATTACAAACGGAAAAGAGTAAGGAACTTACCAACTTATATAGTATCTGCATATTCACAAATCATCATTGAATATATTCTTATGCAAAGATTAACATCGTGCTTATTCACATGCAATCAAGGAACAGGAGATCATTGAGGGGTATAGAGATAATTAGGTCTTGGCCTTCACATCCTCAATTTGAGTCGTCTTGTTTTCAAAAGTTTCTCCGTCGGCTCAGGGTTATGCCGAGAAATGAGATTCGTACTCGTCAAGGTTGCATACACTTTCATTCGAAGATAAGATCTACTTTGATCAGACTTGATGAGTTGATGAGTTGATGAGGAGATTTCTCCAGCGTGCGTGGGGTGTGGGGACCCCGGACGTATAAACCCAGTGAAACGCGGAGAAATGACTTGATGAAGAACGTGTTAGCCGGAAGGATCGAACTATCAAAAGCGATACATATTCTCATGCAGCTTGAATTAATGATTTAACAAAGGCATAAAAAGGAGGAACATACACAGTCTGCAGAACAAAAGAACAAAAGAATAAGTCGTTGGGCATATCAGATCTACCTGAAACTCTAGGACTGATAAACCCAAGAACTTTTGACAAGCAATATGCCTGTCGGAGTACGGCTGTATTCAAAGTTTGTACACCGTATGTTTGTATGTTTGTGTGTGAGTTTTGAGGTCGTCAGACCTAGACCATAAGCTCAAGAAAGTCAAATATACGAAATCAGACCTAAGCCACAACTTTGAAAGAATCATATATATAACATCAGAGCTTGGCCGAACGTCGCTTCATGCTAAGAGTGGTGGACGAACTTCAACAGAGCATTGCAGCCAAGAAAAAGGTAAGATGAGAGTGCCTGGAGTGGGTAAGTTGATGGGAGAAACATCAGCACTTTTGCCCCAATATGATAAATTCTCTTGGTTCATTTCCAATTGTTTTCGATTGAGATAGTCCATGATAAGTAATTGTTATTCCAAAAGCTTGGAAAAGTGTCTATCAAGTGCTCATTCAAAGAGTTGTTTCCGATAGAACAAGAACGCCAATATTTTCCCGTTATGTATACAGTCGGTCAAATTTATCAACCCCATCCCACGGAGAATCCCCAAGAGCCATCGAAAGTTTCATCTTCACCCTTCAATGGTCGTAAACATCCCAAGTCCCACGACTTATCCTTCATTTTCTGTAAACAATGAAATCGTGGGACTTGATTTGGGGCGTAGAATCTTAGTAGCATCTCCATATCTTCTTCGTTCATCGCATGTAGGTCTTCTAAACTATAAGCGTCGCTAACTTTGATCATCCTGCTTGTTATAAGTATGGTGGCGCGGGTGGCAATATCATTGTCCAGAAATGCTTACCATGCCATTCTCTTTGGTCCTTCTTCTGGTCCTGGTGCAACCTTCCTGAGCATTTGCCTTAATTTTCCAATCTTCTCTATCCCTTCTCCAATTCTGTCTGGTAAATTCGATGCAATTTGTCTCCTTACGATGTTGGCAAATCGTGGACCTTTCCCATTTGTGCTAACCATGATTTGTAGAGGTCCATCTCGGTGAACACTTCCAAAGTAGAAGTCACATTCAGGGGGCACATCTGCAATGTTCGCTGCTATTTTCCTTTCTTTACACAACTTCCATATCTGTGAAGATGCTTCCGGGTCATCGACGGCAGTCAATACCATGTCAACATTGTCGAGATCGGATAGTTCGAACTTTCTATCCACAAAATCGACTTGTCCCTCTTGTACTCGATATGCGACTTCTGGGTTCAGACCTTCTCGAGGTGATACAACAGTGACCTTTGCATCTGCATTTAAAACGTTCAAGATTCGACCTGCTGCAACCTTTCAAATGATCAGTACGGAAGAATGATGATGGAAAGGAGTTTTTACCTCTCCGCCTCCAACTACTAGTACTCGTTTATTCTTGATTTGCCATGCCAGTATCAATGATCCGCCACCCTCAACTTTTGGAAAATTTTCTTCACCCATCGGTATTGACATTGAAATATTGGATGTTGTGCATAATAACCAATTCTTTATTGGATATATCTCTGGGCTTTATTGTAAATGTGAATGCTTATCGTTGATGACATTTCCGATAAGCAAATGAAATTCGGTACAGTACCGATAAGGCACAGCCAGAGAGATTCGCTTACTCAAGACATTCGAAACCACCGTCACAGAATGAACAAGGCGGAGGGAAAGCCTTAAAGACAGAGAACCTTTAAACAAATCAATGTCTTGAATTGGTGAGGATCTGAGGTAAAATCCCTCACAATCTTGATATCTTTACAATCATGTCCAGCAGAAAGCTGGGAGGTGGGAGGATTTTGGGTAGTGGGAAGTCATTGGCACCTCCTGCCCCTCCGGCGCAACAACGAAGTTCCAGTTTCATTACCCCTTCAGAAAGTACTCTTTCGTTAAGTTCGACTCATTCAATATCCCCTCTTGCGACTTCGCCTCTGCCAAACGATAGTCAGGATTTAAGGTCGAGAGTTTCGCTGGAAAATGGTCGCTCTTCAAGTGTCACCGCTGTGACCTCGAAGCTCCTATGTCCAATATGTAGCGAAGAAATGGTAGGCTAGCCCCTTGATATATTGTTATGTGAGAGTAATAATAATGTTTGGCAGATGACTTTATTGCAATTAAACCGGTATGCCTCTTGTATTACGAAATTTGGAAAGGAAACTCACTCTCAATAGACATCTCGATGATAATCACCAAGAACTTCCAGAGGTAGAACAAGATGAAGTGAAGAATTGGTTCGACAAGCAGGTTACTAAGGCAAAAAAGTTCCAACCATTGGCAGTGATAAATCAAAAACTCAAGGGACTAGATGTATTCGAATCAAACGATGTATCGACATCATCGATTCCTATACCGAATACACTTTCTGGAAATCGTATATCAACCCCCGAGCCAACAAGACCAGATCCCGACGAAGTAATTACAAGGACACATTGGCAGAAATCAGGATTCAATGATACATGTACGGAACCGATTTGCGGGAAAAGACTTGGTGCTGTCAATGGAAGTGTTAATTGTAGGAAATGTGGTCTTCTATTCTGTGAGGATCACACGATGTACCAAATCAAACTCTCGAGGTCGGCACAACACGAACCTGTAAGGGGATTATGGTGTAGAGTTTGCGAGACTTGCTTTAAATCAAGAGAGGGATATAATGATCATAATGGTTATTTGCGAGATCATACAAACGACTTCATGGCAATGCGAAGGAAGCATGTGGATAAAGCGTATTTGGAGATCTCAAGGTTAGAGAAACGACTCACTAAATTAACTCAACTACTTGCGAATCCACCCGAAGATCTGGCCAGTAATGGAACATTATTATCTTTAGCAGGACAGAAGAATCCGCGCAAAATACTGGAACAATCAGTGGTAACTTGGGAAGAGGATGCAAAAGTTCCAAAATGTCCTTTTTGTCAACAAGAATTTGGTTCATGGTCATTTCGACGGCATCACTGTCGATTATGCGGACGAGTTGTCTGCTCAGATCCGAGAACTGGATGTTCCTCTGAAATTGGATTAAATGTCACAGCACGTAAGTATTCAACTTTTTTGTTATTTCCAACATTTTCAGTGTCATTCATTGACATATTCCAGTGACTGACATTCAGTCAGAAAAACTTTCGGAGAATATCAGTCTTGATATACGGATGTGTCGCGATTGTAAAACTACAGTCTTTTCCAAGAAAGATTTTGCTGCAGAACTTAAGGAGAAAACACCCTTACAGCGGGCTTATGAAAATCTTCTACAATTCGAAAAGGGCATTCGTCTATTACTACCCAATTTCCAACGCTTATTAGTTGCCCTTCAAGATCCAGAAAAACCACCGTCACATGTTCAACTTGCTGAAGCAGCCAAAGTTCGAAAGAGATTAATAGATAGTTTCGGAAAATATGATCAAGCTGGAAGACGCATACGTGACTTGCCAACCACATCACCCACTCAACAAAAGATTCAAAAATCAATCTATCAGCAATCTTCCAGTTTCCTTCATCTTCATATGCTTCCTCTTAAATCTCTCCCCAAAGTCCTAAAACATGCTACTCCCTCTTCAAGTCACTCATCTTTAAGACCTCAGAATGGTCGTTCCGCCCTCTCAAATATTAAATTCAACGATACAGCCACAGAAACATCATCACAAGTCTCAGATATTTCCCAAATATCTCAAATGGAACAGGAAGAAAAGGAATTACGAGAAAAATTAATAGTTTTAGAAGAGCAGAAATTCTTCGTCGAAGGAATGGTAAAAGATGCGGGGAAGAGAAGAAAGTTTGATGAGGTCGAAGCATTAAAAGCGAATTTGCAGGATGTGCAGAGAGAGATTGATACGGTCATGGGGTGTATTGGACAATTGGATTTTGAAGGAGTTTATAGGAGAGAAATGGATGCTGGTGGGAGTGGAAACGACAATGGTGTTTTGGGGTTAGGGTGAATGAGTAGAGGTTGAGCTGGATTTCGAGAATTGTGCACTTTAACCTGGAGCAAGAAGGAATGATTGCACTTAGTTACATACGATACGCACTTTTACTTACATACCATACCGATCGATGCATTGCTAGGCGTTGGTTGGATATATTATATGGGACTCGTGGCTTGGGTAACTCGAGTGAGTACTATGGGATGGAATTGCAAGCCATGGAGGCTGGTGTTTGGGGCGGGGTTTTAGGATTAACTAGCTAGGTGTTGTTAGGATCGGATTAGGATTCATTATCATATGTTCATACATACGCAATCGAATTACTTGAGTATGAGTATGCGTGTGTAAGTCTACGGATTTTGATCAATTCCTTGCTTGCCTGCTTACTTACTTGCCTGTTTACTTACTTGAAAAGAAATATGATATGAGCTCATTGAAAGTAATAATTTGTGAAATGAAGATAACTCAGAATCAGATCAGGAATATTAGCAGTGCTTTTGAAGGGTTGCTCCGCCTGATGTTACAATCCCAA